AAAATATACTTAACATTAAAACTTATTTCTAATATATAACTTGGGCAAAGTTAATTACAAAATACAGACTACGTGTGCGTGTGCGTAATAGTGGTAACATCAGAAAGTAGAATGGTACTGTTCTTGTACTATTCTACTCTCTGATGTTATCACTCTTGTACTTGGGTTTTTTCACAGACTTTGTACAAAATTCTTTTGCTTGGGCACCTCTATTCCATTCGTGTTTCTACTATAAAGCAGTTGTATTTACATGGCTATGTTTCGGTTTGAAGAGTGGTATATGGCGTAATCTCTGATACTAATGGTATAATAATAATAGGCGATTAGATTCACTATGAATGAGCATAAATTAGCATAGAATATATTGCTTCATTTCATATTATCTTTGTTATTAGGAAACAATAAATTAAATAATTTAATATGAGCATACATTCATTCATTGGGCTTGAATAGTAATAATTTTCTCTAATGACTATTTTATGTAAATTGGTTTAGTAGAAATACATATTTCTTGACTAAATAAATAACTAATAACTAAGTAAATAAAAACTTATGTAACCATTTAGATAATTGACGTACGTCAGCAATTTGAGAACTCCGCCTCAACTATTAAAAAATACTTTTAAAATTGCACTAAGAGTCTATATATATATATATATATATATATATATATATATGTTTATGACAGGTTTTAGTCTATGATAGGTAGACCTTAGTAGACCTCCGAACGTTAGGTTTTTTATTTATTTATTATTTTAAAAGGAAAGCTTAGAGCTATAATAACTTAATAATATATATATATATATATATATATATATATATATATATATATATATATATATATATATATATATAAACTTTAAGGCACAGTAAAATTCTATTTACTACGTACACTATGTACACTAGAGGAAAAATAAAGTAATACTTGATAAATTCATATAATATAAATATACATATAATATATTAAATAAATATATACATACAATAAATAAATACATAAAATATTACTATATAAAACAGTTAAATAAAACAACTGCAATAGAAGAGCAAATAGTAATCTATGACTCAAACAGAGTAACCAGCTGGAATACCTTGAAGGGAAAGTGATTCTTCTAAGAAATAGGTGCGCAATTTCTGTTTAAACGCTGGTTTGCTTAGGGTAGATCTTTGTTACCTCATTATGTATATATATCACCATCACCATCGTATTAGCTTTTAACTGTCCACTGCTAAATATATGTCTCCTTCTTGAGGGGGTTTGTTCGTAGTTGCCACGCTTGGCAGGCGAATTGGCATTGGTTAAGTTTTAGAGATGTTTTAACCCTTTTAGTGCCATTGATTTTTACTCATATCTACTTAAAAATGCCAAAGAAATCTTTTTCGTGTTGATGTCATTTACCCTTGTCTCTAAAAAAAAACTGTATCTCCTCCAAAAATTATCCAATTTTATTATTTTTTTTACAGCAAGTTAAACAGCGACTGATTTCACGAGCGCTATGACGCTCGTGGCACTTTTGGTTGCAATGCGCACGAGCGCGATGGCGCTTGTCGGCACTCGAAGGGTTAAGAGGGACGCTGCTGTCCATCCCTCGCCTACCCTTAGTCGCTCGCGACACCCACAGGAAAGAAAGGGGTGGCTTATTCTATGTATATATTTATATATAAATATACGATATTTATCAACCAACTGCGAAAAGGAGTTTTTCAATTTGATTGTATCTTTTTGACGTTTGCTACCGTCAAAATTCCGTCAGTTTTAAACTTCTCTCTTTATATAAAAGGGTATACTTATAGTTTGCTCTCGTAGAAATATTATCAAACCGGTTCAATAGTTTAGTTTAATTTCATCATCATCATCATCATCAGCCATTAACTGTCCACTGCTGAACATATGCTTCATCCTTGGGGTTTTGCCAGTAGTCGCCATGTTTGGCACACGGGTTGACAACTGCAATTAGGTTTTGGCGATGTTGTAAAAGGAACCCTGCTGTCCATCCTTCGACCATTAATAGAGTATTATTTATTATTTTATACCCGAGGTTTACATTGTTTGGGCTAAAAAGTACCTCATGTCTTTCTCCATCTCAAATACTACTACAGGGGGAAAGGGATTGTTAGTAATGAGGTCTAATAGCCCCATTGCTAGCAATATACCCTCTCGGGTCGACCTCCACGCGGTTCCCCCTGGAAACCATTATGGTTAATTCTTGTCGAATTCATCACGGTGGGCCAACTGACCTGCATCCGTTCTCACCTATCATCTTCCACTGGTGCCTCGTCGGTGTATACTGATCGCGCGGGCGGGGTTACCATTCCATTTTCACCCATTAAAAAAATATTACTACAAACAATGGCTGGTTAAATCTTATTAAAGAAAGAATTAATTCTTCCACGCACAACCATTCTTTGGAATCAACTTCCAGCAGCAGTATTTCCGAACCGATACGACAACATAACCTTCAAGGAAAGAGTATATTCCTTTTAAAAAGGCCGGCAGCACACCTGCAATGCCGCTGGTGTTGTGTGTGATCATGGGCGGCGGTAGTCACTTACTATTAGGTGAGCCGCATGCTCGTTTGCCTTCTGTGTTGTAAAAAAAAAACACAAACAAACAAACAGATTCATATTAATTATATTGATAGGGACATAAGGATTTATGTTAACATTTAATTCGATTCGGAATAAACACATTTCAAGGTCCATTTTCGATCTCAATCGATCCGGTCATAATATTAGACTGGCCGTGAACAATGGCCGGTTAATAGTGTCAGATATCTGTACAGTTTCCGAGCCACACCGCACCAGACGGACACATACCGATGCTATCTCGGTAAAGATATCAACGCGCCTCGCAATAAACACGCTACGGACTTGAGTTCTAACGCGTCGCGTTTTCTTTCGATTTTACTGGATACACTGCGTTATCTGTGTGGGTTATATTTTATTAATCGGATTTAGATTATACTAGCTATATTCCACGGTTTTGACTGTGTGAATCTGTACATAAAGTATCTTTTGTGCTAAGTTAAGGTACAACCTATTCGTGTATGAAATTTCATTTAAATCCGTTCGGTAGTTTTTGCGTGAAAGAGTAACAAATATCCTTTCATTCATCGTTATAAACTTTTACGTTTATTATATTAATAGGGTTTGTTGCGTGTGGGCGCGCGCGCACGCGCGTGCGCGTGAGTGTGTTGCGTGTGCGTATGTGTTTGCGTGTGCGTGTGTGTGTTTGCGTGTGCGTGTGCGTATGTGTTTGCGTGTACGTGTGTGTGTGTGTGTTACGCGATTCATCGTTGATTATGAATGATTTTGTTGCATCTTTTTAAAACGAAAGATGTAGGGAAGGGATTGATAGTAATGCGGACTCTCAGTATACCCTGTCAGGTTGACCTTCACGAGCTCTTGGTAACCATCGTGTTGAATTCCAGGTGTATACGTCACGATGGGCTAACTGACCTGACTTTACATTCTCACCTATCATCCCATACTGGTGCCCCGCCAGGGTATACCGATAGCGCAAGCTTATCGTTCCATTGCCATCCATTAAAAAATAATGTTTAATTTATTAAACTATGTACATAGGTATTTAAGTAAAATTATATATTCACACCCATACCTATCTGTAGATTTATGCAGACACTATTTAAAATCGGTAATTTGTCAGTTTAATTTAGTCTCAGATAATGAATTAGTAATAAATTTAATAAACAACAGAAAAAACATAAAAACAACACATATAAACATTATTTATATTAAACTGATGTCAAACACTTTTACACGGGGGGGGGGGTGGAGGGGGGAAGGGATTATTAATAATGGAGACTAAGAATCCCATTGCTAGCAATATACTCAACCAGGTCGACCTCGCAGTTCCCCCTGGAAACTATCATGGTTAATTCTTGTTGAATTCACCATGATGGGCTAACTGGCCTGTTTTCATTCTCATCTATCACCGTTCACTGGTGCTCAACCAGCGTATCCTGTTAGCGGAGGCGGGGTTACCATACCATTTTCACCCATAAAAAAAAAAACTTTTACACGATTGGCCAAAAAAGGCGTGTAATGTTTTTAGGGTTCATGTAAATAAGTAAAAAAAAAACAATATGGCGGCTGGGTGGCGTTATTTTCAAATGTAAAAAAATTACTTTGGAAATCATATTTAATTTTTATTTTATTAATTAATTAATAATAAAAATCACTTCTCAAATTGTCACTGTTATGATTCTATCATTGGATTCGCAATACTGCTATTTTTTTTTTGTTGAATGAAAATGGATTGGTAACCCCGCCTGCGCTAACGGGATACGCTGGCGGAGCACCAGTGAAGGGTGATAGATGAGAATGAAAACAGGCCAGATAGCCCATCATGATGAATTCATCAGGAATTAACCATGATAGTTTCCAGGGGGAACCGCGTGGAGGTCAGCCTGGTTAGGTATATTGCTAGCAATGAGATTTTTAATCTCCGTTACTAACAATCCCTTTCCTCCCCCCGCAATACTGCTATTGCTATCTCGTTCCCGGTAGAATTTGCTAGAAAATTGATGTTCTTCAAATGAATTTAATTAGATATAATAACTGTTACAAAGACAATATTAATAGGTTCTCAGATTTATGTAAAACAAAAAACAAAATTGTAAATAGTTGATAAAATTTTTATCTTATGTATTTTTCAAAATATTGTCAGTGTATACCCGGGGCGGTAAATATGAATGTAATTGTGAACAAACCTATTCACATATGGTAAATAGCAATCGTTCACGAGTATGACGGGTGAGCTATGAACTAGCCATCTGTGTTCCACCGTATTTCAAGGAATCTAACCTTTAAATTACTCTACTTACGTATAAATTTTTCAATTAAATTAATTAGTTAAAGTGACATATATATAAAAACATAAACATATAAAATAAAAAAAAAGAAACTACGATGCAATTGCTATCATACACATATCAACATATTAAAGTGTACAAAAATATAATACAGCGAGACCTCACCTTGAATAAATCCAATTATTATCGTTACGCCAAACAAAAACGGCACAAAATACTTCGGCACATCCGACAGGCTTTAAACAATGCACTTCATCCATCGGCGACAAAAAAAATCACACATTTTCCACTAAACCACTGTTTCACATAACACAAAATTTTTCCTCTATGCCACTTTCAACATGCACACAAATATTCAAGCTCACAGAACAACGCAACAATTTTCCAATAAGAAAAAACAATATTTTGATGGCAAAAAAAAATCAATAAACACAGCAAGTGCGCTCGCGAGTTTGCCGTCAACTGACACGGCGCGGCGCCACAGGCGGTTGCGCGCGCGCAACTTCACGTACGCCTCGCTCTGTCCCACTCGCGCTTATATGTCAGCTGCTTCTCACCTGAAAGAGACAAAAGTATGATTAATCGATGCAACTTCGATGACGGGAGCGAAAGCTTTCGGTCAAAAAAATTGATTCGTAATTTTATAAGGAGGTTGGTATTTGCAATCGAGGGCCAATCGCCGTGTGATAATTTAGCTTTCTGACGGTTTACTATACGTATATTATAGTATAGACGTATTATATATATATTTATAACATGTATTCTATATAAATTGTGTAAAAACAACAGTGGTATCGAAATTAAATGTACGTACCTACATTACGTAGGTGATAGATGAGAATGAAAACAGGCCAGTTAGCCTATTATGATGAATTCATCAGGAATTAACCATGATAGGTGCCAGAGGGGACCGCGAGGAGGTCGACCCGGTTGGGTATATTGCTAGCAATGGGATCTTTAGTCTCCATTACTAACAATCCCTTCCCCCCAATAAGTGTTCAGTTAGTCCAGCGTGATGAATACACCTGGAATTCAGCACGATGGTTTCCAGGGGGGATCACGTGGAGGTAGAGGGTGTATTGCTAGCAATGGGACGGATAGACCGCATTACTAACAATTACTCCTCTCCATCCAAAGGTTGCCTGGAAGAGATCGCTCTTAGCGACAAGGTCACCCATTGTTTTCTCACAGTGATTATTTCTTGTAATTGTTTATATCTATAATAAGTTTACTATTGTAATCTTTTATTTATTTATTTATTTATAGGATTACCAACATAAGATACAGCTAAACATTTTAGTACAATACACTGGTAGATTAGATCTAACTGTTCTTACATTTATAGGTAACCACAGCATGCCTTGTGTTTGATAAACATTAAAATAGAATTAAATTATTAAATGTCATTATATGAGTAAAAATATTAACAATATGAATAATAATATAATATAAATAATGGAAATTGTATTTAAATTATTATAAATTATAAATAAATATTAATAATAATTATAGTTTTGGAGGAAACAATAAAGAGTATCTATCTATCTGTCTATCTATCCCTTCCCCCCATTACTGCAATATTTGTATAACTAGTATGAACACAAATTAGACTCAAATTTCGTTTTTGTATAAAAATCGGTGGCTACAAACTAGCTCATTATACTATTTGTTGAAGGGAAAAATTGCAGTTATAGATCCGTGAAACCGTTGGATTCATAAAAAAAACAAAATTGCCACAGTTCTTTAAGGTAATTGGTTGGAAACGGGAGCTTGAAAAAAGCTAAGCAAACTGCGACAATGACGGCCGATCGTTTAGTTGTCTCGTGGGCAACGCAGTAAATCACTCAATTTTAAACGGCTTACGGTTCATCCAGATTGAACGATTGCGAGAGAATTATAATTTATTATAATTATTAAAACAAACATCTTGTTAACGTAACAAATGCAACATCTTATCTACAATGTTTCTGACAAATAAATTTCATTCCTTTCCATTCCGTTCCGTTCCGTTCCGTTCTATTCTATTTCATTTCAAAACATTCTTAACACAATGGATGAGGGATGGATAGCAGCGTCCTTCTTATTTTTGTAATGTGTGAGAATGATATGGTAACCCCGTCTGCGCTATCGGTATACACTGGCAGGGCACCAGTGATAGATGACTGATGAGGATGAAAGCAGGTCAGTTAGCCCATCCTGACGAATTCCACGAGAAGTAACCACGTTAGTGGTTTCCAGGGGGAACCACATGCAGGTATATATATATATATATATATATATATATATATATATATATATATATATATATATATATATATATATATATATATGGGGGAAAGGAATTGTAAGCGATGGGGTCTAACAGCCCTAATGCTAGCAATGTTACTAATGTAGAAATTATCGTGGTTACTTCTCGTGGAATTCTTCACGATGGGCCGACTGACTTGCCTTCATCCTCGTCTATCATCTATCACTGGTGCCTCGCCAGCGTATACCCTTAGCGCAGGCGGGGTTACTATTGCATTATCACCCATTAAAAAAAAACCCTCTTATATGGGGGTAGCCTCTGTTCACCAGTGGACTGTTAACGAATGATATGGTGATGATGATGATGAATATTAAAATATGTTCCTTTGTTTATTTACCCAGTGGCGTAACAATAGGGTGGTGGGGCTGGCAAATTGCCATGGGCCCCCGACCCCAAAAAGACCCCGGCTCAAGAGGCCGCGAGGTTAGAATTTGTTTTTTACATTGTACCTGAGTATTTTATTTTACCTAAGTGAAAAGTTTTTTTTTTATTGATAGGGCCCCATCAAAAGAATTTGCCACAAGCCCCAAATGGTATAGTTACGCCACTATATTTACCTCGAGTTTAAACGACTTAAATAATCCTTATGGAATTTAGCACAAATATAAAAAATATACAAAGAAAGACAGACCAATTTATATTCCTATCAATTATTCTGACCCAATCACGCGAATAAAGTCGCGGGCACAACTGATGCGTATATAAAGTTAATTTTAAAATGTGATCGCTCACTGTGAATAGGCCTGGACTTCTGCAAATAGCTAACGTTAAATACTTCGAATAAAAGCACGCGAAAGCCTAATGTTCTTATTCAATTGGACATTAAGAAGTCTTGAGAATCGTCAATCGGTAATTGCTCTTATGGGGCATGACTATTTATAATTCTGTTTAATTCAAGCCGCTTCCAAAAGGACTAAGGATTTTTCTATGTAATACGATTACGCCGCCAATTCTAAACATATGTTGATGATTCTTTTTGCAAACGAATTATTCTTGTGACGATTGAATCCGATTGGAGAGAGAGGGAGACTTTGTACAAAAGTCGATTGCTTGGGTACCTCTGTTCCATTCGTGATTCAACCGTGAAGCAGTTGTGTTTGCATGGCTGTGTTTCGGTTTGAAGGATGGGATATGGCGTAAATTTACTGGGTACGGAGGAATAACACCTGAGTCCTCAGCAATGGCAACGCATGCGAGGTATCATGGGCGAAACAGTATACTCTGTTATGTCCATGGTACTGCTCATGTCTATAGGCGACGGTTACCACTTTCCATCAGGTGGGCCGTCAGCTTGTTTGCCATTCTAAGTTGTATAAAAAAAAATTATCGTCCGTTGTGAAGTACTTACAATTACATAAAGGTGGTCTCTCAGTCAATCTTATAAAAAAGGACCGTACAAGAGTACACTGCCACATATCCATATAATAACTTATTATCCATCATAAGTATGCGCAGGCGCATTGCGGCTAGCTTTTATGTCGGATGTGGCGAGCGGGCATTTCACGTTGCATTGTCTCGAGGGTCGTGTATTTTAGTTTTATTATTATAACCCGCCGCGGTTCTATATTAGTTATTTCCTCATTACTGCTGTTATTTACACTTTTACGAATATATTATAATATACGTATATCATGCCAATCCTTCATTTTATATACGAGCTAGAGTAGATTTGTCAAAATGTAGGAAAATTTCAATTCAACAGTATTTAAAATTGGGTCACCGCGACACGCATCGCAAAAACATATTTTTGTATTTTATCTTTTGTGATTTATTTTACAATTATGTAAATTATTTAATTTTGCATGAATATAGTTGTAAATTTACATGTGTCATTGAGAACTTAAGTAAATTGTCTATATATCTATCTATGTATTTATTATGAAAATGTAAAAATTATATACCAATAATAATTAATAGATTAAAAAAGAAACAATTTCCACACAGGCCGGTGATAATATTTTTCGAAAAAAAAAATTAATCACTTAATAATTATTATAAAATCGTATTAAAAATTTTCATATGTGGATATTTTCAAGTACAAGCAAATGCGACTTCTATCTTATTTCGGTGAACATTACAACTGTGCCTTCAATTAAGAGTTCCCAGAAAAGTCAATACCCTCGAAATATAGAAGGAATCTTTTATAAAATACTTTATGTGTGCAAGTTTTTATTTATTTATGTATTAATGTTATATTAATTCATTCATGTACTTTTATTATTTACATATGTAGGTATATAGAGCTGTTTTTATGGCTTTATATATTCAATTTTTTACTGGGTATTATTTAGTTTATCTTTAATTGTACGGTTATTACCCTTATAAATTAAATTCTATAGTTTTCTTTCAGCTTCTCAAAGGTTGACTGTAAGAGATCCCTTTATGGGATAAGTCCGCCGTTGTATATTAAATCATTTATCAGTGCTCAATTTGAATTATGTACAATAAAGACTTTACAATACAATACAATACAACTTCTTTGAAGACTCGAAACCAAAAAAGTCCACCGCAATTAGACAGAAACTATCTTAGTGTTGAAAATTAAATATGATAATATAAACAGTATCTAGAAATATAGACAGTATCTGACTTACTGAAAGTCGCCCATTTTAAAAATATTTCCATATGAATTATGCAATTATATAGTAAATTGCCAAGTGTCTAATCAGAAATAAAAATATTTTAATTATTATTTTGGTGCAAAAAAAAAAAAAGACTTCTAAATATTATTCAAAATTATGAATAATATAGATACACTACTGACCTTTGCCCCAATTAAAGCCAAAAATTCACAAATAAAGTACATGCAAATTAATTCCACGTTTGTGCCCTGAATACACACGCAACTATGGCACCAATTCGTGTACTTGGTATTGAATGGATTAAACGCCGTTCTCGTCAATCGATCGACAAAGTTAACAAGAGAATCGTGCTTAAGTGGACCTGTCGCCAAGTTAGTCGACCTCCTAACTACCTCCTTATTGATCAGCCTCCTTCGTACAGACATGATTTTATTGTCATGTTTTGTATTGGTTTTGAAATGACTCATGTTACATTATAAAATAAATCTATTAATCTATTGTCTTTACAGGATAGTTTATAAGACATGGGCATTTTTTTACAACACAGGAGGCAAATGAGCATGCGACTCACCTGATGGTAAGTGACTACCGCCGCCCATGATCATCCACAATACCAACGGCATTGCAAATGTGCTGCCGGCCTTTTAAAAAGGAATATGCTCTTTTA